GTTCAGGGGTTTTGGAGAAGAAGTCGAAAATGTAAATTGTTTACGGACGCACGACGGACGACGACGGACAAAAGGCGATCGCAATAGGTCACTTGAGACTTTGTCTCAGGTGACCTAAAAATACAGCACCAGGACTGATGTTAAAAAAAGCACCAGGGCTGAAGTTAAAAATACAGCACCAGGACTGAAGTTAAAAATAGCACCGGGGCTGAAGTTAAAAATAGCACCAGGGCTGAAGTTAAAAATACAGCACCAGGGCTGAAGTTAATAATAGCACCAGGGCTGGGCATAAGTTACGAGAAAAAGTTACAAGAACATGATAAACATCTTTCATTCTGGGACAGCATAATTACACTTATAACAATGAATTACATTGAATATACCGGTATAGTCATTACTTTTTATTTAAATATTAAAGCTGGTTTTCTGCCATAACTGTCACAAAGTTTTAAATACCAAAAGGTATTTCTTATTAATAACTCTTGTTTTAATCTAAATTATATCCATCCTTGTAAAATCAAAGTCAGCAATTCTATATTCAATCTTCAATGTAATTTCGTAAAAACAGGGAAATACTGATATCATCTTATAGGAAGCATTAGGTATTATTTATGCATGAATTTTGATTAAGGTAAGTATTTATTTGTGGAATGTTATATCATTCCTGTTTTATTTTGGTATTTTTTCCAGTTCTTAGATAAATTGTTAAAAATGCTAACATTACCACAGCGTTAAACTGAGATGTTAATTTGTTACTAGTTTGTATATCAAACCTTTCCAGGAGACGAGAAAGCGCTCAACTGTAAAATAACGACAATTGTTTGATAGCAGTTATTACCTAATAGTATTATCTTGATACTCATAGCTTTTAACAATGATTTTCAAATAATTTCCAACTTTATATATAAATACATATAAAACCACTATTTTTAGAATCATGTTAAGAAGATTCTGTAGAAATTGTTACAGCTGAATTAAATATTGAATCAACCTGGTCCTAAACACCACCAGGGAACACTTCTTACACGCACTGGGGAGGGGCTAAGACTTAGGTGTGAAAAAAATCATTGTTTACAAGTTCATCTATTTGTTAATAAAAAAAAAGGTCTCAATGACTCTAAGTTCTTATTGAAAAAAGAAAATATAAAAAGAATGTTTTTGTCCTAAATTGGAGATGATTACCAAGGTTATAATAGCCATGTAGTTTTAATGCCCAATTTTTATTTACTTGCAATTGATAATTATGTTATTCTGGTACTCCATTTTAGTTAAATACAAAATAGGTAATTTCCTTACATCTCTAAATAAATCAAACACAATTTTTAATTATGAAATATGATGATTACTATTGTTAAACTATCAACTTTTAAAAGTTTTAAAAGATTGACTTTAAATAACACATCCACTAGTCTAAGGCATACAAATATCTATGTACACTGTCATAAGTTTAAGTAAACGAACATTTCATCATCATGAAATAAAAAAATAAAAAAATAGGATTAGATAGTTGTATCTTCAATATTTAAATTGTCATTAAATATTTTAATATCTAAATGGTCATTAATCAGCTTAGTCATTAAATATTTCAATATCTATATTTTCATTAAACAGTTAAGTCATGAAATATTTTAATGGCAATTTCAGAGTTAAGTAATTAAATATTCTCAAATTGTCATTTTTAAAAGTTAGGTCATCAATATTTTATTACATGTACATGCAGACAAATCTATTTGTATCTGTTATAGCATCGCGAATCAAGGGTTCGTAACTCTCATGTTTCCCATAATATTGCTTAAGGATCCCTGTACCACTGCCAAAATTACAAGTTCTACCAGTATGCATTCAAAACTGTTTTTCTGGCAAGACTATATATGAAAAATTATTTCTTAAAAGAAGACCATACCTTGCAGACCTTTTATAAAAAAAAATTGTTCTGAGTGTAAACAAATCAAAAGGCTAGACCACAATTCAAAACCCTGGACTTCAGATTATTGTACTATCTCTCCTACCAACTGAGCCATCTACTCCACGGAAGTGTCATGGCCCATCTTTTGAACTTTGCTACAGCTAAAAACGAAATAAAGGGGAGGTTCCTGTACCAAAAATCACAGTGCAGTGTATATATAAGTAGGGGTATACTTTGATAGCTCACTGAACATGGAGAAACAAGTGAATGCTATTGCCAAATCCTGTTACTACCAGATCAGGCACATCGGCTGTATTCGGCAGTTTTTAACTGCAGATGCATGCAAGATCTTGGTGCATTCACTTGTTACCTCTCGGTTGGATTATGGTAACGCTCTGCTCCGTTGTATATCTGACAAACTAACTAGTTGTCTGCAGAGGGTCCAGAACACTGCAGCACGGCTAGTTACTCGTACTCGAAAGAGAGAGCACATCACACATGTGGTTTATTTGTTGCACTGGTTACCTGTACGATACAGGTCGCAGTACAAAATTCTGGTGTACACATACAAGGCACTGAATGGAACAGCTCCTCAGTACCTACAGGAGCTTGTTACCCTGTATGATATCAGCCGTCACAATCACTGTGGTCGGAGTCAGAATCTTTGTTGTGTGTCCCAAAATCTCGTACTGTGACCTACGGAAACAGATGCTTTGGGAGGGTTTCGGCTACGTTGTGGAATAGCTTACCATCTGCTATTTGAAAGTAAAATACCCTGGCCAAGTTCAAGAGGGACATCAAAACTCACCTCTTCACATCTGCATTTTAGAATCTTTGCAAATATGTGCACATTGCTTGCTTAAGTGTACAAAAGTGATTGTAAGCCTTTGTTTTTTGTTTTCACAATTATAATCATTACTTAGAGTAATTTTACAAATTATATAGGGCTCTATATAAATGTTGTATATTATTATTATTATTATTATAAGTACAAGGGTACTTGAAAATGGTGAGAACCAGATCTAGATAAAATGACTTCTCTTAAATAATTTCTCTAATTTTATCATGTGGAAATTATTGTTTTATAGAATTCCTCACTATTCATGAATATTGGTTTTGGTTAAAAGACTGTTATGCATTCATCTAGGATTCTGTTTTATGAGCTGTCTCTCTCTCTAGGGTTCTGTAGTTAACTCAATGCTGACTGTATCAAAGTTTTCTTGTACATCATGTATATTAATATTTCTTCCTGTCTGTTACCTGTGAGGGCACTTAAGGCAGACAAGTCCTGAAAAAAGGGGTGAATTTAATTTGCTACTTAACTTGTTTTGAAATTAGACTTTCTAATATTAAGCCAAGAAACTGTTTTCCCCCTAACTGAACATTTTATGCAAAAACAATTCAAGTTGGCCTACCAAGCATAGATTACTACAGGTAAAATAGGGGATATTAATTAATGGTTAATATACAGTTGTTGGCTTTGAAAATCATTGAGCATCAATAATTCATGTCATATTGGTCATGCTGGGGTCAAAATTAATAACTTTGTTAATATCTTATTACAGACATTGATAAAAGTGTGCCTTAATGTTGAATCATGCTCTGAATTAGTGAAATATCTATGGATGCAGCAGTTTTGATTACCATTTCTGGTGAAGACATGGCACTTATCTACAAAATGTAGTGTACACTGTTTCAGATAAATACAGTCAATACAGCATATACTGGGAAATACAGAGAAAATACAGACATATACAGAGAAGGTTTATTATGTAAAATGATAGTGATTTTAAATATGAAGAATAATTTGATAAATTACAATTGTACTCAGTCCTGATACTTAACATAGTTCCGTAAGACCTTATTTAAGCCAATGTTGTATTTCAATTGCAGTATAATTAGTACATTTATTGATTATTTTTTTAATTGGAGACAAATACCTGGCCACGAGATGAAAACAGGCTCAGCTGAAATAGGACAGACATCTTGTGTAATTTTTAACAAAAAAAAGGAGAATAACATAAAAAATATTTTTATAATTTCATATTGATATTTGATTGGTTTTCAGACCATACAAAACAATATTTTACTAAAAAACCCATAATTTTTCTGTTTCAAGTTTGCTCAAATCCAACAAAAGAAAATTTTAAAATCTTGTTTAATAAGTACATATTTTCATGTGACTTTATGTAACATTAAGACCATATAATTACCTTTCCAGGTGATGGGATTGTACATGAACTTATCTGAAATAAACCCATCACTACTGTACATTCAAAATCATACTCTTCTCCATAGAAAATCTACCAGATGATATCATAATGAATACTAAATATGAAACACACTTAATTATGTAACTTCCGCATTCCTGCTAATTTTTGAAACGGTAATTAATAAGAGCACATTATCAAAATGTATTCCCTGTAAAAACATAAAATGTATCAAGATGAAATTTACTATTATTTCATTTTCATGAAAAATAGTACTTCAGTTTCCAGCATCATCAGACAATAGTAAAAGAGTAAGTGGTTGAAATAAAACCTAAAATAGTTTAATGGTTAATAATTTAATTTTCTAGTTGAGTTAGGAGTATTTGGATGCAGGCATCTGAAGGTACATCTATGGGACATGGATCAGTCAGATAATTGTGATGTACCAGTCATCGTTCATGGCAGTGCAAACAACATTTATGTGGATGTGTTTAATGAATGTTGATATTGAAAAAAGATAATATAGAATCAGGTTTAAAAAGAATCTTTGAGCAAACAGAACATGAATATCTGCCACTCTACTAGATCTCTGGTATTACAAACAATGTCATCAAGGTTGGTGTTTATGGGGTCCCTATACCATCTAAAACTATTAAATCCACAAAAAAACACTTTCAATAATTCCATTTATACTTTGGAAATGTCCCTGTCTATGAAATACTCAGTCAATTAGTGACATTTGGTAGGTAATCACGACAACTGGTGCAGACCCAGTACAATGTACATGTAGTGGAGGGTACTTAATTAGTTTTTAACAATTAGCAATTATTTTAATGAGTCGGCATTGCTTTTTTTCATAACTAACAAACAATTTAATGAGTTTGCTTGGGTTATAATATTTAATCATTGGCAAATAAATTAGTGAATTGCACCTTGGTTGTTTTTTTAGCTGGCAATTATTTTAGTGTCATTGGTACCTTTATCATTTTACTAGTTGGCAATTAATTTGATGAGTGCTACCTTGGTTAATCATCATTGCCAATGATTTTAATGAGTTCAACACTGGTTATTTTATCACTTGCAATTATTACAGTGAGTCATATTTATGTTATTTCATTATTAGCATATATCTTAATGATTTCAACTTGGTTTCTTTATGATTGGAAAAATATTTAAATATTTAAATGGACTATTTTATCAACTTTTTATATGATTTGCAAATACTTTGATGAGTTTTACTTAAGCTTTTCCATTAATAGTTTTAATAAGTTAGTTAATGATCTGTTGCCATTGGCTTTCAGCATTATCATTGTCAGCATTAGAAGATTTAGACTGTTGAAGATTACCACAGTTGAAGATACCACTCGTGATGAAGGAACCACAAGTGGTGATTTCCCCACTTGTGGTGGTAATGGTACCACTTGTGGTAATGGTACCACAGGTGGAGGCTGAAACAGGAAACATCCATTGAAACACACATCACAAAGACACTAGTAATTTCACAGAATTAATAAATGCTGCCAAATTTGTAGATCTCTGCTGAATTCCTCTAAATTGGCATCCTTCGTGTGCTGTACAAACATGTTTTCTAAATACAGCAAAAAGCATAATTCATTCAAATAATTGCATAAATAAAAAAACAAAAGGTGAAGTTGTTCATTCCTAGATTAATAGATCACTTGGTGACTGAAAAAAATGAACACATTTTGCATGGTGAACACATATAATAAAAGTACATTAAAAAACAATTTATCTCATCAATATTTCATTGGATGAAAAAGACTGAAAATACATGGTAATCGTGCAACAGGCTAGAACTTATATCAACATCTCCTTATGAAATAAATATGTATTTACATTTTGAAAGTAAAACTGCAAAACAAATATTACCTGAAAAACTTACCCTCATTAGATCTTCAAAATTTGCATCTGGAGTTTTTACCATTTTATTTTTTTATTTAGCACTAATTATTGCGATGAACTTACAGCAGAAACTTGGGTGGATAAATAAAAAGGTGATTGATGCTTAAAACACCTAAGGTGAATACAGTGTTTGATTCCTTTTCACACTCACCTGGGAAAGGGAAAGAGGTACTTCATAAGACAATGTTAAATACAAAGTGATTACAGATAAATATTGACCAATCAGAATGAGATGTCATTGGGTGTTTGAATGGTTAGAGATTTCTTGATGAAGTGGAAAGTTAGTCTCATTCAACCGAACTATCCAACCTCAATCTGAAGAACTTTACCAGATTGGTCACTTTAATAAATATTTCAAAATGACACTTTCCCAAAGATTGTTTTGGCTGTGTTTGGCTTATAATTACATCATTATATTCAGAACAAATTGCTTTTGTCCAGTAATAGAAACAAAAATTATGAAGAAAAAAAAATCTGAGGACTCTTAAAACTGCAATCTCAGCTATCATTAAAAGAAGTTATACATTTAATTACTTTGTAAATAAAATAAAGCTTGAATCTGGAAGTGTGTCGAGGTTCAGTTGCTACAGTTATTATTTAAATTACAAACACACTGTAACACTTGCAAAACAAAAAGTATCAGCACTACTTGTCAGTTTTTTTATCTGTAATTTTGTATCCATCCAAATCCTCTGTTTGGTATAGTCAATCACAGAGGGAAGGAAAGACAGGATGAATGAGACAGGGGAATGTAAGACTGAATGGGGGTGAGTACAGTTGTGCTGACAACCTTACCTCAGAGTAGTACTCGGGTCCCTATGTTAAAGTTCAAATAAAATCTTAATTTAAACAACAAGTTTAAAAAAACAAATAAAAATCACATAAGTGTTGGTGGTATCCGGGCCTGATGAAATAAATATTATAAAACTTAATTCCGATTTTTGTTAACTTTCATTATTTTCCAAACAGTAAAAAACTTAATATGGGAAGAAAATGGAATACCCAGCTGAGAAAATCCATATGGTCGGTTAAGTGACCCAATATATGTACATGTTAACGTCCAATTAGGGAATCAAACCAAATATATTCCATGCTACTAGGTAGGTCAAGGTCATGTCATAAGTTATTACTTTTTAGGACTCCAACTTCAAAAAGCCTTAAATGCTAGCAGTATTTTACATTTTGGTTCACCCTTTCACCCCTATTTAACTTAGGTAGACTCTACCATGCATTGACATGGATGAGTCCATTAGGGTCTACAGTGGTGAAAGGGTTAAACATATATAGCTTATACTCTCCAAGCCCTGGAATCAGGAAAGAAGTTTGCCTTCAGTTCAAGTCTGAATCAAATTATTTTTTTCAGTTCAATATTAAAACTTGATTTTATATACATGTAGAAAAATGGTATGTAAATATGGATCATTTAGTGAAATTTACATTTCTTCAACATTTGAACTTGCACCTTAAACTGCTTCATGATCCTGGGGTCAAAAGAAAAGGCTAAAATTTGGCTTAAAATTTACCTTAAAAAACACGAGCAACAAAAATTTAAAATGAGCCCCACTTAATGACAAGGAACGTATAATCTGATCATTGTAAGAGGACCTACCTTATCCATACCGTACATCTTCCTCATCTTCATCGCTCTAACCTTGGCTTGACGGGAACGTCGACTGGAATGCTGACTAGCACCACTGATGAGCCCCGACATCTTTGACTTGGGAGTGGGTAAGGGGGCGTGAAGTATCACAGTCTCTGACCTACACAAACACAGGTACATCCCGGTATATCAATTATCAACATAATACAGTAATGTAGAGAAAAAAGTAACCAATATTTCAAGATACATATCACAATCATATATGTATTGATATGGTGTCCCTAATCCTATCATTACCTCTTTTGCTGTAACCCATCTTTAACATCTTATATACATATATATATATATTTGTTTTAGGCTATTACGCGACACATTAAATTTGTATATATATTTTCTGTTACAGAAAAGACGTAGGTGTGTTGCAATAACTTTTGTCCAATCCATTTGACTTTTGTTGAAATAAAATGGATTTAAACTAAACTATTGATATGCAACACACAGCATTTTTATGTTGATCCACCAAGTCACTTATTTATAAATTTGAAATCTGGTGGATACTATACATGTTTATCAAAGGAGTACAAAAATACAAGCTTTAACGAGGACTAAATCGTCCAGGGCAGGCATGACGCCGAGGACATGTCCGAGTGTATTTGTTTCTTTAATCCCTGCAATTTTATATAAAGGTTGATGGTGTGGGAATCTCAACAAGTTATGATCCAAAGATTAAGTCCCAAGGAGAGGGGCTAGATCCCCGGGCAAATCCTGGTAGCGCAAATGTAGTTGTCTCTTTAACTTTAGCAGTTTTAGGATTAAAGGGTGAGGATTTTTCAACTATTGCCATATGTTATGACTCAGGAAGTAACTCCCCATCGATGTAGCACACCCAAAATCTAATCCTAGTAGCAAGAGTGCTTTCCCTTACATTTATTAGTAGAGACTTCTGCTCAAAACTCAACCTGAGTCAAACTTAAAGTGACTCTGACTTAGGAGCATACAGTAAAGATTACCTGAGCTGTGAGACGGCCCTGATGTGCTGAATTTTGATCTCCTGTGATAGGGGGCGCTGTATCAGGATAGGGATCTCTCCCTGGAGGCGTGGACTGATTCGCTGATTGTACAGGAAATCCACAATGTCATAGAAAATTGTCCTCCTGGACAGATCTGTGAGGCCAAATTATAAGTCGGATGCTTAAGATTAAGGAAACATCTAAGACATCTTGAAATAAAATTGAATTTTAGAGGACAAAGGTTTTCACAGTTACGTTACTGTTGGCTTCATCTATCAAATTGTGGCCTTAATTTCCCTTATTTGAGGATCTACCTATTTTCTACATCATATTTTTTCATTTTTTATTTGTAGTTTTAAATTATTAAATATGTACAGCCAAACCTGCTCTTGTGACCACCTCTATTAAGAGACCACCTGTGTTAAGAAAACACTTCCAATGCACTGTTCAGTAGTGATTTCATTTTGATCTTAACTTGTATGTTTATATACCACCTGTATTAAAAGACCACTGTTTTGACTTCTTGAAAGTGGTCTCTTTATATATAGTCAACAGTTTTGAAATTGTGATTGACATTTAAAAAAAATGAATACAGATCTGCAGTAGAATATACGGGTACATTAACACTTACCGTCCAGTGTTAGCTTCCTCCAGTAATTCTCTTTGCCTCCCATACTGGCTGGGCTTTCATCTGTATTTGCTAGGTACTGGAACAATAAAACATTTACAGGGTATACTTAGACACCTTGTAGTGACTGTTGCAAACATGAGTTGTGCTGTTATCATTCAGGGGGGGATAATCACTACAACAATTTAAATATATATATCCTCCATAAACTACAATTTTCATAAAAGAAGAGAATGTTACTGTATAGCTACTTAATATCATGAAGAATTTAATTTTAGAAATAATGCGTAAGTATACCAATTAACTGATTAAAGTCTCTCATGAATATTTTAAACTTTTCAGAAGAAATAATACAAAATAATCAAATGTTCCATCCCTCATATCCAATACTTCAATATGATGTTCCCTTCCCCATATCATGATATTAACTAAGTTAATCTTTGAACCATCAAACAATCAATTAAGTCTATCACGTGTTTTACCTGCATATAATCCTTGAGAGTGGTCACATCTATTTCGTCCGTGACTCTATACTGCTGTTGGAATATAGCATCTCGTAGCATCTGATCATAGAACTGTCTGTTACCCATCAACCTCAGGGAGTCTTCTGACGCCTAAACAACACATGTACACTATACGCATCAATTTCTGTCTAGCATCATATATACATCTGACATACATAATTGCATAATTTTTGCAATGAGCTGGCTGAAAAATGAATATCACTGAAAACAGGCTAAATTTCCTAAGCCAAGGTACAAGTCTCACCAACTAAATTAATACCATATATATACATAATTACCAAGTACAAGCTTTTTTCAGCATTATCATTCCAGAAAAGTACCTTCACAATTACATCAATACCTAAATTGCATAGATTTTTAATTTAGTCGTTAAAACATTTTATAGAAAATTTATTATGCTACTTACTGTTTTTCAATTAAAAATGTATCCACAAATAATTTCTTTAGGCATACTGCAAGTGATACTTAATTTGAACTGTGACCTTTGATAAACTATATATAGAACTTTGGTATAACTTTACATTGTTATAATATCTATCAATGAAACAAATGGCAAGCATTTTGGTTAAGAAGGGTTGCAAGTTTTGCAGACTTTGGTTTCAGACCTCATATATGATATATCATGATATAGGATTAATTATGTCAATGAGTAAAAGGCCAATGTGATAATGTGTAATTGTACCGATAAAGGTATTGTATCAAATCTGTATGGGGATAAATATCAATACATATCAACTCATGTGTCCAGTATGAACCTACCCAGGATGCAGTATCCTATTAATCACAAAACCACAAAACAGATCAAGAAATCTTAACCCTTTCACCCCTATTTAACTTAAGTAGATTCTACCATGCAGTGATCTGGATGAGTCCATTATGGTGTACAGTGGTGAAAGGGTTATGGACAGCTTACCTCGGAGGCTGGTTTGATGAGCTTGCGACCACTCATGTATTTGACACCCTTCCCTGCCGTGTGTATAAACACTTTAAAGAAAATCATTGGAGGAAATTCTCCACCACCAAATCTGTAACAGGAAATTCTTCTTTTAGACAATTTATTCAAGTGAAAACAAGGGGAGATAACTTATTTGTAAAGCAGAATACAAGGGGAAATAATCTACTATAACCTCATATCAAATGTGCGAACAGACACAAAATGTTTAGCTTTGCATTTTACTGTAGAAAATTTTATTCTAACATTTTTTAACAGTTACGTGAAACATATATTATAAAATTATGGACATGCACTGATCCTATCATCCATACCGGTAGATACCGTGAATTTTATTAATAATTTCATTTCATATTCAATTTTCTAGAATAATTACCAGAATTGGTTCAGACTTGAACAGCTTGTTTAATATTTACCTGAATCGAACCCGTACTTGAACACTTTTGTCACTCAACAGCTCAGCTTCTTTTGGGCAAACTTTCCTCAATATTTCCTTCGATAATGAGTTTTCCTGAAAATCAAATATGATTTTTTTAAAACAATGCATCATTACCTGTAAAACCATCAGAACAATCCTGAGTTTAAGTTTAAGAAGGTAGATTCTATCAAACTGTTCACATCAACAATACTTACTGCAGCACACACGGCATGTTTCAGGAGTCGGAACATTTGTTTGTCTCTGTAGGCGATCCATGCTCTTTCTATGATGGTAGCTGCTGCTTGACGTATCAGTCTGGAAAAAATATACTGAATGTAAATCACATGTACTTTTTGTTAGCATGGAGTTTATCAAGAAATAATCGATGCAATATCTCCCTGAAAATCTCATTAGCTGCAAGTGAAAGACTTGTTTTAAGTTGTTTAAGTGAGAAGTATAAGTATTTATCAAAAAAATTGTAGCTAAAATATCAACTGATAAGTCAGTAGAGTATGATATTCTTCCACAGTTTCAGTATTCATCTGTTACTGTGTCACTATTAAAAAGAAGTTTTAAAGGAAATGAAGAGAGTCCATTTTGAGAAATATGTTAAAACTTAAATGTTTTCGTTTTTGCATATTTTAATATTTTTGTGTATATATGCATTGTATGCAGCCTCTGTGATTAAATACAAAACAAATAATCAATGGACGATTAAATAATTTAAGACTTGAATGTCAGTCTTCCATTTCGGTCCCATATTTCATTGTCAACCTTAGAACTGCAGTGTTGGTGCAGATCAAAAACTTCATCAAAACTTCATCAAATACAAGGAGTTTTATGTGAAGTGTTTACTATACTAGTACATGTAGCACAAATACAATCACATAACGCCAATTCCATAGGGTTTAGGTTAAACCCTTAAACCATAACCCTAAACCCTTCTACCAAAGCACAAGAAAAATTGTTTAGGAAGATAATTGACAATGAAGCTTTAAAAGTATTCAAAAATGTTCATAGCTAACCCTTCTACCATAGCACATAAACCTATGAGCGTTGATTTTTAGATATCTTTTTGATTTAAGATAGTTTGATTGGTAAGGTGAATTTTAATCCAACATCAATTTATACAAACCTGGAGTAGGAATTTTTCCTGTCTATTTTGGGAATTATGTTATGTTCTCAGAGGAGGTACATGTTAATAAATTTTGAAAAAAAAAATATTCAAAAAGAAGAATCAAAATTATCTAATTAACTTATTTTTGAGGTCTAATATCACCAAAAGATATAAACGGAGGACGCACTGTCAATTATGTCTAACTTTAAATTGAATATATTATCTGTAAAACAGTGAAAACCAATTACATCTGACTTTAAGGACATCCTGTAATATGTAATATATTTTTTTTGGATAACTTTGAAGTGTAATTCCTGTATTTGCATAAATAAATTCCTTGTTGTACACCTACTGCCAACATTTGTTCACCAAAATTTCGGAAGTATAAAAAAGTTTGGTGATATATTGAGGGAGACATACAAAGGAATTTTGAAGAAAAAGGACCTTCAAGATATGTTGGCAGTAATTTTAAAGTGAAGGGGGAAATAAAATAAAGGAATTATATAAACTCTTTTTAGCAAAGAATTTGTCTTTTTTTCTTGTCGGTCAAGACAGGTTTTACCGTATGTTAAATAAGTGCTTTACATTTAAAAAATTGTTCAGAAATAAAAGAAAATGATGCATGTATTTATTAAAACACCACCACCAAAACTGTTCACGTCACTATACTACTCTGCATATTGCATTCTAACCCTTCTCTACAAACAAAAACCAAGTCACCTCATGTCATTTGTCATTTAACACTCAGTCTACATACACATGTACTACAATATAATCATCTATAAAAACAAAACCTACTAAAGTCACCATTTTCATTTTAACTGCACTTCTTGCTGGTGAAACATCAGGATTTTTCATTTCTTAGTTGTATTTTGTGAATTACAAAAAATCTGGAAAAATTGATATCAAAAACCTAATTTTCCTTTTTTTTTAACTGGTACATTTTTTTTATTAAAGATTGCAGGGTTTTCTTTATGAAGTCCTTCTTGTCTGAAATGTTATCTTAAAAAAACATATTTGATATCATATATTTTTTAGTTAATTGTTTTATCAGATTTGGAAGAAAATGTCTTCAGGAATCATCCTGCCAAAATATCTAAGCAGAAGAAAAAAACTGAACACACAGCTTTTAAAAACCAACAAGCAACCCTCTTCCTTGCACATAAGTGATAACCAAAACTACTATCACATATTACTTACTCCTTTTCTGACCTTTTTACAGGTTTTTCTGGTAATTTAAACCTTTCAATTTAAAAATATCATTATAGATAAGTTGGTGCACCCTAGACATAGAATTTAAATACAATGTATATGAATCAAACAATTGACAGGACATGCATACACAATTACAGATTTCATTTATGGTAAAACAAATTATTAAAGTAATGATTATATGAAAACAAATCTAATCACATCTCTGAAGCTGAGTAGTTTTTGATGCAAAGATATAATAACAGGATATATAAGAAGATTTAATAGGAAAAAAGATGGATGCAAGCAGATATCTGCCTCTATACCCATATCAATGATACAATACATACATATTATAATTCATTAACATTCAATTTTAACATTCATGTAAAAACCTATAAATTTGCAACTAGATCATATTTCATATCTTTATTTTCCCGAGTTCATCTGAATTGATTTTGAATTAAAAAAAAAAAAAAAATTCTCCTTGAGGTTTGTTTAGAAAAAAGAGAATTGAGCGCTCATTTTTACAGAGAAAATCATGGGATTGTTATTTTTTAAATGTTTCATGTACACAACAATAGGATCAGACAACATTTTGTCCACACAAAAATAAAATAAAATACAAAATAGCAAGATCACCTTTGTAACCATCACCAAGGTAAATAAAAAAATCTTCATCTCTTTTTAATGCTTGGGTTAAAAGTTCTATAATAGCACCTTTTTCTGTTAGTACATTTGGGTATTAAATTTTGGATATTGATATTAAATTCTACATTATATATATATTTCTCTCATTTCCCTGTGTGTAAGATAGAGCTGTCCAGGGTAAGAAAGGGGTGTAGGAAATTTCTATCTTACACCCTATTTCACATGACATGACGTCACCATGGCTCAACAATGCACGACGTCACAAATTTGGAACTCTCCAATGCCGCAATGCAGAAAAAGCAATGTGATGAAATTAAAACCTTTTACTATTTATTTACCGTAAATGTTAGAAAGATGTGATTATTTTTTCTGCACAAACATTGTTTGCAAATATGGGATATGCTAAATATGGCTGGCTAATTCGTTTTCGTCTAAAATGCTCAGGGGAAAAATTGATATTTTCAAAATGGTGGCCAGTCCAAACGCAATTTCATGGTTTCTGATCATGAGCTTATTCTGGTGATTGGAATGAGAGAAAAATACTCTTTCATGCCCGAGGGTGTAGGATAGGGAAATTATACCCTCAGGTTTTATCAAATTTGAAAATCCCTCAGGTTGAATTTCCCTAGATATCCTATACCCCTGGGCATGAAAGAGTCTTATAATATTACTCACATATTAAAAGAAATATCAGTTTTAAAAAATATAAATAAATTAAAGGTCGCTGGACCCATACATCCTTTTCAGAATTGTTAGGAATGACCTTAACCATCATGACCATGTGACCTCATGACTACCCTATTATTTCCTGGTCATCACAGATGACCTTTCACCTCAGCTTAACACCAAGACACCAGTTGTATCACCATGGATACCAGACTTACTCTATCAAAGACTTTTGTACGGTCTTTATTAAGGTCTCTGTCTCAACTCCAGACTTTATTTTTTCCGGTTCAGACCTTTTTTCACTCGGATCAATTGTTTTACCTTCTGGAGACTCTGCCTTTTTTATTTCAGCTAAATCTTCCCTTTTAACAGTCATGTTAAGAAACAAAACATATGATTTTATGAAAAAAATCTACAATACAAGTTCCCATGAAAAATATTCTGCATACAATAAAATTAGTCTGCATGGATAAATGTGGGAGAGCATTTTATTACAAATGGCCCTCTCAAAATTGTTGTAGTGGCCAATTTTGTAACTTAAACCCCTTCAAAATTAATGGATGACTGGCAAAATTGACTCCAATTGCCCCTCAAGTGTCACTTTCTAGCCAATATTTTTTGGTATCATTGTTTTTTTGTAAAAACTTATTAATCCTAGGAAAGGTGGTTATAATATTACTCTAGTCTATATGTGAAAATGTTACCAACATCGCATATATTAGTTTGTTCTAACTACAATCTGACATGCACTACATTGAATTTAGAAATAGCTGTGGTAAAACAAATTACAGGGATTAAGTACACATACCTAGAAATTGAGGAGGTGGGGGGATTACTTATACATAGCTAGAAATCGGGGAGGTGGGGGGGATTACTTGAAATATTAATTTCTATCAGTATCAGTATCATGATCAGATGATACCGGCCCCACCCCAATTTCTTCAGTATTCAAAACTAACCAAAGAACTTAAATAAAATAATGTTGACATACATTCCTTGTGGTAAGAAAACAACAGAAATTTTGTGCTAATCTTCTATGCAATCTTATTAATGAAACATTCAATATAATGAGATTCAAAGACTTAATTTTAATTTACATAGAGATCTATATATATATATTGTTAAAAACACTGAATCAATGCAGTCATCACCACTATGGTTATAAAAAAAGAGAACCACTGCATGACTTAACTATATCCAAATAGATTGTAGGTTTCATGAAAATTCATTAGAAAATTCCTTTATTGATATACATGTTCATTCCATATTACAGGAAAGCAAAATCAATAATTTGGCAAATCAAAAAAATCTTAGGTAAAGTGTTCCTTATTAATACGGTAATACTTTCCTATGGGAAATCTGAGTTAAGGAATGATTGTGGACTGGGGCCAATAGCAATTGCAGTTATAACTCTCAAGTAATCCAGCTGTTTTATTTTTAGATGGGATCAATAATATGGCTTTGCTTTTATGGACTAGAATCCACTCTAGTTAAAAAAAATCGAGGTCCATGCAAATTTTCATGACAAATAATCCAAATTTTCTTGGACTCATTGACGGCCCTACAACACTTACTCTTTCTCCGATCTGTTGGGTTGTCGCATCATTTTGGATGGTGATGCAGACAAAAGATATTCCTTTGAGCTGACAGGGGTGGTAGTGAGAGGCCGGACTCCAAAATCCGGTGTGTGGGGCGGAAATAAGTCATCCTGATCAGGTGGTGTCTGCTGACTCCCTGCTGTGGAAAGGTTACGCTGAAGTTCTTCCTGACTGGGAATGTGATCGGGAAGTTTCACATTTATCGACGTCTTGCTTGTAACACTTTTGGAATCTACACTTCCCGTTGGGGACTGCATCTTTATCTGTTGAATATTAACTTGAACGTTTTAATGATGAACTGAAAGGCAAAATATTTGGAATTGATTAATGCCATATTTTAATTAGATATTCTCTCTTCTTCTTCTTCATTTTACAATGCAGGATTTATTTTGAATATTAACGCACTGGTGCATGCATGTCAGGATAAAAGGTGTGAGCTACTATTAGAAAAAGTCTGAAATAACTGACTTTTTATGTCCTTTAAAATTTGTGACTTGGGGATTTTCGACAGAAATAGTCTGATTAAAAGAACAATAATGGGAAGTTATTTTGGACAAAATTAGAAAATTATTAACAAGCAACTAAGGTTAATGAGTAGGCCGGCCTACTGATGAACTGAAAACTGTCATCACATGAAATGCTTTGTGAAATGTCACTGTGAATATGCACTTTAATTTGACAAGCCTGTTACGAGCTTAGAGACTCTATAAACTAAATACTGATTAATCAAATAACGTTCTAAATATAACAAATGACCAAAATGTCTAAAGACGATTCGTCCCATATTTACATTTGTACATCTTCTTTCAAAGACATTTCGACCATCTTTATGCCGTGACTAGTCACTAATTGTAGCGAAACAATCCAATGAAATCAAATCATTATTAATTTAATGAATACTTCAATTTCAAACTTACATAAGATATCACGGAGGTGACATCAAATTCATTTTTGTGTCACACAAAAGTGTCTATTGACGCGAAACTCGGTAACATAGGTCCGTCTCCAGTGCAAACAAATATGGCGAACTTCCGTAGAAACATATCCCACAAAGCACTTCGAATTTCCTGTAAGCATGCGCGAACGAAACATTCCTTGCTCTGATGTTAGAAGTTGACAGTGATGTTTTGGAATTGTTTTTAACAGAACCGGCAAAATGAGAATGAAAACAAATATACAACGGGAACCAAAACATATCCTTTTCTGACTGTTCACACACGATTTTGTTTCGCTTTAAACAGCAATTCAGTGATGATTTTACGTTAGAAATGTCGAAAACTAGTTGTTTTCGTCTGCACATTTGCAGGTGGTTTTAGGGACTTACCGTAAACAGGTAAACTAATGTTTAGAAATGGTTGTTATGAAATTAATTTCGTTGAATTGCTGTATTACACACGTCTTTTGTTTGCGTACTGTTTCAATGTTGAGAAATACAAGATATACATTGAATGTAGATCATTTCACTGCCCATAGGTGTTTGAAATTCTGACTGTAAATTGAGATAAAAATAATATAAAAAAATAAGGGTTATACTTTTTTTATAGTGATATCCTTATTTTTTATATGATTTTTACAGTCAATTTTTACAGTCAAGTTATCTCAATTTACAGTCAGAATTTCAAACACCTATGCACCGTCCTGATATTTTAGTAGCTTGATCACCATGGCTAACTCGTTACCATCTTTAAAATTCTTTTGCATCCTTAACAAAGCTTACATAGCGAATTAGTGAGCTGTGTTGGTTGGACTACACCTGAAGAACTGTTCTCGGGGGCAGACGACCACCTGGTACTAAAATGGAACCTAAACTCAAATGAAACTACTACACTGGTCAAGTTGCCTGATGACGTCTTCCCTACAGATATGCATTGGTTTCCTAAGGCTGCAGGGGGAGGCAAAAAGGCAGTCTCTGATCTTTTTGTTCTCACATCAACAGATGGTAACTAATAAGTTATCCTTTAGATTGAAACAAACTGTCAAGTTCTGATTTCCTAACTGTTTAAATAAGATATAATTAGGTTTCAAACTTATATAACATGTCCATGCTGTATTTCTTTAACCCAACATGGATTTATTTTGGCTATTATATGACAAATATTCCAACTAATTAAAGAAGTCATGCCAAATTTGAATTATTACTCGAGGTTTGTGCTATGTATTCATTAAAGATATATGATATTTTATCAATACAGTATAATATATACTAACACTAGTACACTGTCTAAGGTTTAAATGTAGCGGCACTGGACTGGATTTGTCGCTGGTGACCAGATATTCCGTCTTTGCGTATTGCAGAGTTATCTTCTCTTGGGACCAGATATTGATTGTTACGTCATTGGTTTGTGTGAGAAAATTACGTTGTTTTCTCAAAAATTGATGACGTTACTCTTACAAACAAGTGATGTAACAATCAATACCTGCTCCCAAGAGAAGATAACTCTGCAATACGCAAAGACGGAATAGGGCTAAATCTTTGATCATTTGAGATGAAGTGATGGTCGATCATGAAATTTTAAGCGATTCCCAACACTGCATGATAACTATTCAACAAGTCATATAAGACCAACATACAAGAACAGCATCAACAGCATCTAATCTAGTCTGAGTGTCTTCATACATTGTCCCTGGCATATGACTGCTAAAATGTCAAAAAAAACTGGTTTTTGGATCATGATGAAACACCTATTAGTGGTACTTACATTGAACTTTTATTGTGTAAGTACACTAACCCCTAGTAATATTTATCTGTACATTGGAATGTAACACTGGTATACAACATTACAAGTTATGTATATACAGACTGGTGTTGACATCTGTTCCATGTGGGTTGTTCTGATGGTAACATGCTACTACTTTGCAAATTACTTTTTACACATATTGTATGTTAAACAATATAAATGGATATCATAGCTAACACTTATAATTACAACTTCATCAGTTATACTTATTTAGCTTTTCATTGAATCAATTTTTGGACACTAAATATAAGAACAAGTGATATGTACATACCCTATCAGTGATCCATCTACAGTTTATTTTAATGAGACCTTTTCCACTGTATTGCTAAATACAATGAGTCCCACAATGTTAAATTAAACTATTTCTAGAAATTCTGTGAGTCCCATCAAAGTACAGGACTCGGGACTTGCATGTATAGATTCATCACTGCCCTATAAATATCTTGAACCATTTCCATTTACTTTTACAGGAAAGTTTCACCTTGTCAATAAAACTGGTCGAGTGGAGAAGAGTGTGGAGGCCCACAAAGGAGCTGTGCTGGCGGGCAGGTGGAGCTTTGATGGGTCAGCCTTTGTAACAGGTATGGCTTTCAACTGGTTTTTGTCTGACGTACGTCATACATTTCAAATATTAGTATTGGATGAAAAGATCCTGAGACACAATCAGATAAGGTCAGATATCAGGTTAAAATTTAGAGGCCTGATTGTTCCGAACAGTTTAAAAAGTGTCTGTAGCAATGCATGATTTAATTTCTGTGTGTTTAACCCTTTCACCCCTAGATAACTTTAATAGACTCTACCATACATTTATTTGGGTGAATCCATTATTGTCTATAGTGGTGAAAGGGTTAAATTAGTCAAATAGAATTTCTGCAATTACATTTTAACTATCTAAACCATATATATATATATACATTTTCAGCTGGTGAAGATGGTGCTGTGAAGATCTGGTCCAGAAGTGGAATGTTGAGGTCCACACTCACACAGAACAGTAAGGAAAAAGCCTACAAAGGCTATCATATATTTCCCTGCTCATCTATAGGTCACTCGACAGCTCCATATGTCTCTGCCAGGAAATAAATTCATGATCACTAGTAGTACGTATACTAGTAGTTCAATGCTGTACCTAATAATGTAAGGAAAGGTTTAGCCCTTGTTAAATCAGTTATAAGGTACTAGCTGGTTTCCTCACTGACATTTGTGTCGTCAATATGTCAGAGTGATAAACCATCTTGTCACTGTCTGTGATAGAGACATTTTCTCATCAGCTTGATTGGTGTAGCACTAGATTTAAGGTAATTGTAGGTCCTTCCGTTGAGGGGTACGTCACAGTGATGAACCATCTTGTTTAAATAATATATAAACTTAATAACTGACTTGGCTGGCAAGATTTTCGCAAGTTTAATAGATAAAACACTTTGTGTAGTCTTTGTACTTGTCTTATCTGAAGTCCCGGGGTTGACCTCTGCCAGAAGACACCATGATAAGAACCTCTGATGGCTAAACATAATGATTTAAGGGGAAATATTTAAAAGATTGACATGCAAATGTGAAAAGAAACTCTTTTTTTACATTTTTGACACCAATATCTTTCTTTGCTTGTAATTTGACTATTTTATCTGCTACCATACTCTAGTAATTAATAATAATACCATAAACTTGTTTGATTATGTAATTAAATATCCTGATATTCTTCTATTCTGGTTAAATGTTTTCCCCTTCTGTGGTAGGTATGTCTGTATACGGTGTAGCATGGGGACCAGATTCAGACTCGGTGCTGTTTACAAATGGCAAACAGTTGGTCATCAAGTCTATGCAGGCCAACGCTAAACCAACCATGGTAAGACTTAGTAATGTTTTGATAAATCAGGATTTTTTTGATTTTTTTTTAATTGCTTTGTGATTAAAGTTGTCAAATCTTGGATTAAATGTTTCAGTTGTACCAAACGTAAAAGAGACAACTAAAGACAAAGTTTGTTATTTGGTATATATTGCATTGCTTATTTTCAGAACATATTGAAATCTTGTTTGTTGTGAAAAAATTGCACTCAAAAAAGTCCTGTTTGCATAAAATCCGTTTCAATTTTGAGTTCCTGGATGGTTTTGATTTTGTGAAGGGAAGAATTATTAACGAAAAAATTACTAAAAATAGAACTGTATTGATCTGTTGTAGTGGCGAGCACACGAAGGAGTGGTACTGGTGGTAGACTGGAACCCTGTCAACAACCTCATCATATCGGGAGGAGAGGATTGTCGCTACAAGGTGGGTAGTAGGACATTATATTGTTTACCTCATCATATCGGGAGGAGAGGATTGTCACTAAAAGGTGGGTAGCAGGAAAGTCATCCTCGATAATCAGGGGTTATGCTCATTTTAGCTCTCTGCACCCCTGGAATATCTCATAGCAAAATCGAAGGCTCAGTGTGCACCACTTTGTGAATGAGACAAGAAGACTAGTTTGAGCCTTTGATGTACATCAATAGAATCTGTCCGTCACATAACAGTAAAAATGTACAGGCTTTGAAGTCGGGCGTCTCTCCATTGTAATCTTCAAAGGACAGGCGATTGGTCAGCTTTACCTGAGACCAATCACACAGCTATTTTTGTGCCTTCAATTTTGCTATGACATTCCAGGGGTGCAGAGAGCGAAAGTGAACCTAACTTCTTGAGTATCAAGGATGCAGGAAATTGTATTGTTTATTTACCTCATCATATCAGGAAAAGAGGATTGTCGCCACAAAGTGGGGTTGCAGGAAATTAATATTTTAATGTTTACTCACCTCCTACTGCAATGAAGAGGTAAATATTAATAAATCATACAAAATTGAAATTCAAATCTAAAAAATCTTTTTTTTTTAGTTTAAAAAAAGAAATAGAAATAATGAAAAGACATTTTTTTTAGTTTAAAAAAAGAAATAGAAATAATGAAAAGTGATAAAGATGATTGCTTTTGTTGCTAGGTTTGGGATACATATGGCCGTGTGATGTACAACAGTTTTCAGCATGACTACCCAATCACATCCCTAGCATGGACACCAGACGGAGAACTCTTCGCTGTCGGCTCCTTTAATACACTTCGACTATGTGATCAGGCAGGGGTAAGTACAGGCAGCTGATCTGGATGTAAACACTTATAAAATATGTCTGCTTAGAAAATAACTTAATAATCATTATTATTATTTTTTTATTTTTTTAATGTCTTTAAAAAACTAGGAAAAATGTAGTTGAAATGAAAAGTACAGTACTGGAGGACATGTTTAACACTTAGATGAACTTTAATGGTAGAATGAAGTACATACGTATTGAAGAAATACATTTCGCTCAGCCTTTTGGATAGCTGAAACCATTTTATGGCTGCCATCAGATGATTTAAGCTGAATTTACTGATTTACACTGTCTAATACAGTGAAACCTGCTCAATCTGACACCAATGTAGGAATGCATATTGGTCAGATTAGACAGAATTTTTATATATATACAAGTCTTATTTAGTACTTTTTCGTAGAAATGGGATTGCAGCATCATCTTTTATTAAACAGGTTGAAGAAATAAACAATCAGGAATTAGTTGGATAAGAAAGATAGTGAAAATAATCAGGGATCAGTCAGACAAGACAGGTTGTAAAAGTAATGGAGAATTAGTCGGTTATGACAGGTTGTAAAGATAATGGAGAATTAGTTGGATAAGACAGGTTGTAAAGATAATGGAGAATTAGTTGGATAAGACAGGTTGTTAAAATAATCAACATTAGTCGGATCAGACAGATTGTAAAGATAATCAGAATTAGTCGGATAAGACAGGTTGTAAAGGTAATCAAGATTAGTCGGATCAGACAGGTTGTAAAGGTAATCAAGATTAGTCGGATCAGACAGATTGTAAAGATAATCAGAATTAGTCAGATAAGACAGGTTGTAAAGGTAATCAAGATTAGTCGGATCAGACAGGTTGTAAAACTAACAAGTGATTACTCAGATTGGACAGGTTTTATTGTAGCTCTGTTTGTTTTTTAACAGTGGTCGTATTCCCTGGAGAAACCTAATACAGGCAGTCTGTTCAAGCTTGCGTGGTCAAGTGACGGGACTCAAGTGGCGGGGGCCGGAGGGAATGGCCAGGTCCTCATTGCACATGTCATAGAGAAGTACGTACTAACTGATTACATTACATGATAATTTCATGGAGCAGGCAATTCAGTCTATATCACTTATCTAGATGTATATTGGTGTTCATGTTTTACTATCTAGGCTAAAACTCATCCACGAATAAAGCTGAAAATAAACAACTTTTAATTCTCTTCTTTCATGTAAAACTGTCCTTTCTATTATAAGTTTTATATCATTATGTGAAATTTGTGAAAGAGAAAAAAATTAAGAAATGTCTATGTGTCAATTATGTATTCTATTGTTTTATTGCATTATGCTGGGTTTTTTTTCTTGCTTTGATTTGGTTGATATCATTTCACTTTCTAGTGATTTGTCACAGAAAAATGAACAAATTCAAAACATAGAACTGAAAAGTTTATTCCAAGAAATATTAAATGTAAAACTTGAGGAGAAATAATTAATCATTCAGACATTCAAATCATTATTTTATTTATACATTGTATTCAAATTGTGCACTAAATTGTACTGTTAATGTTTTTTTCCACAGGCGTTTGGAGTGGAAGAACTTTGAAGCGACAGTAACAGGAGGTAAACAGATCCATGTGAGAAACGTGATAAATGATGCAGTTGAATCTCTGGAATTTCGCGACAGAATCATCAAACTATCACTGGAGTTTAATCACCTTGTGGTAGCGACATCAACACAATGTTATATATACAGGTGGGTGTGGCGACTTGGGTGTACTACCTATGCTTTCAGTGTAGTTGTCATAATACTGTAAAACAGTTTGTCCTACTATATAATATAGTCAGTGTTTTAGGAAACACATGGGGTTGTTTTTTTGTAAAAAAAAAAATGTCTCAATGATCAGACAGTCTTGCAGTTGAAACTTCGTATAGAATGAAGAGGGCTTGGTTATTGGTCAAAGTGCTATAGAAAATGTTATCAAATAGCATCAAAACTGACAAAGATCCATGTTTTTTGTGATAAAGGGATTTTTTTGTAAGTGTGCTAACATACCTACATCAGGAGATACACTTTATACAGGTGTAGATAAATGTCTTAACAAACTATACTAGGGGGTAGTATACATATTTACCATGTTAAGGTCAACATCTAGGTTAAAGTTTGCATGATGGATATTAAGAATAGACTAATATATTGATAAACTCAATTCATTTTTGAATTCGCTGGTATTTTGGATCATTTGTCCACCACACTTTATTCAATGACACTTTTGAAATCTTAATTTTTTTCTAGAAATGTAACTTTATTTTAGTTATGCACATATTCTTTATTTGATATGTCTATTAAAGGAATGTCAATGTATAGTTGAAAGCTTGAATGCACAACTCCACCAGACTGTCATGTACAATATAACATACATGGTGTGAGGAGGCACGGTAGTCTAGTGATAGGACGCCGGGCTCGTGACCGAAGGGTTGTGGGTTTGAGTCCGGTCACGGCACTGTGTTGAATCTTTGAGCAAGATACTTTACTCCGCTTGTTCCAGTTTACTCAGCTGTAAATGAGTACGTGGTTGGGCAGTGCTAGAATTGTTGAATGCTAGCTGTTAGCGCTAAAATGGCAGCTCCGGCTGTATGCTCCCCATGGAGTTGAGAAAAATGTTGGCTTGTAATTACAAAGGCCCTATAACCACGGATAATAATTTGTGAACTGCTTTGAGACAACCTACGAGCTAGGTTGTGATAAAGCGGTACTGGTATGTAAGAACCTTGAATTATTATTATTATGTGTAGGTAAATGTTTGACAAATTGTAATGACCGATGTATATTCTGATTTATGTCTTACGTGTGCTGTTATTGTTTTATCAGTGTGAAGAACTGGAACACGCCGATGATTTTTGACTTAAAGGAAGGCAATGTATCACTCATTCTACAGTCAGAAAAGTGAGTAGACTATATCATAGATTGAAATTTGTATAACATTCAATTCTGCATACTTTAAAGCTTGTATGCTTCATGTAGTTCTATTTTTTGCAACCAATCTACTGACATGGAAAGTAGAGAATAATAATAGAATCATAATAAATCATAATACAAAGTGCCAAAATATGAATCCAGCTAAGAACATTTATTTGTAAATTGGTGAAGTAGTGTATACCTAAGACAGAAAAACTTTTAAAGTAATATTTATATGATAAAAAAGAAAAATCAGTGAATTCTGATCAGACAAAAGAAAGTCAGTTAATTATGTGATAAATCAGAATTTTCTGATCTCATTTTAAAAGAAATATACTAAATTCTACAATGAAAGAACGTTAATTAATTTTGAAACTCATTCTTTGATGGTTGTTTTTTCTACAGACACTTCCTACTGGTTGACAATGCAGGCATTTATGTATTCTCATATGACGGTCGGCTTGTGTGTTCACCTCGGTACACCGGCATGCGGGCAGACATCCTCAACTATCAGACAGTCTCCATCAGTAACGACACGATAGCCATCAGAGACAAGGCGAACGAAAAAGGTAGAAAAGAGATTGTGTGTTTGTGGATTTTTTTTGTATCAAAACTAAATTTGTTTTATTCTGTTTTAGAAGGTTATACATTTTTCAGAAAAAAAATGTTTAGCCATGAGTTTATGTCGAATATATATTGATATGCTTCTGGACACAGTTGACGTGTTAAAGATCTTAACTCAGTTTTTCTGATCTGTTTTTTTGAGATAAAAATATATGAAATTGATAATTTAATGAAATTATGTTTTATTTGTCATAAAATCTTTAAATCTGATGCTAAATTGAAATCATTTTAATTTCAGTTGTATATGTATTTGATGCTCAAAATGGAAAACCTCTTGGAGACGGCAAACCCATAACACATAAGGTACGGTGCTAGGAATGTTTAAAGTTAGAAGTAACAGCTAATTTAGTAACAACTGCTGTGACAAAATTGATTTTGGAAGCTAATTTCAACAACATTGAAAATAACAGACAAATCAAGGTGTGTGTTAGATAAGTTTGTATTACTGCCAAAGAAAAGTCTACACCATGATATATTTGTCATATTAATTATTTGCCCTTGGCCTTGATATCAGAATATTTTAGATTTATATTTTGTTATCTGTAAATTTGAATTTATAATTTGTACTGAATGTTTATAGCTGGACGTGATGGAGATTGCACTGGACCAGTGTGGTCCAGCTACTGAGCGACGACTAGCCATCATAGACAAAAACCGAGATCTTTACCTCACTCCCGTCAGGGTGTTTGGTACAGAACGAAAGAGTTACAAATTAGGTAAGCTTAGACAAAAACCAAGACCTTTATCTCGCCCCCGTCAGGGTGTTTGGTACAGAACGAAAGAGTTAAAAATTAGGTACGCTTGGACAAATATCGAGACCTTTATCTCACCCCGGTCAGGGTATTTGGTACAGAAAGCAAACGTAACAAATTAGGTAAGCTTAGACAAATATCGAGACCTTTATCTCCCCCCCCCCCGTCAGGGTAATTGATACAGAACGCAATAGTAACAAATTGGGGAAGCTAAGACAAATATCGAGACCTTTACCTCACTCCCCTCAGGGTGTTTGGTACAGAACGCAAGAGTAACAAATTGGGGAAGCTAAGACAAATATCGAGACCTTTCCCTCACTCCCCTCAGGGTGTTTGGTACAGAACGCAAGAGTAACAAATTAGATAAGCCTAGCTATTGGTACAGAATGTAAGAGTTACAAATTAGGTAAGCTTGGACAAAAACCGAGACCTTTACCTCACCCCTGTCAGAGGGTTTGGTACAGAACGCAAGAGAAACAAATTAGATAAGCCTAGCTATTAGTACAGAATGTAAGAGTTACAAATTAGCTAAGCTTAGACAAAAACCGAGACCTTTACCTCACCCCTGTCAGAGTGTTTGGTACAGAACGCAAGAGTAACAAATTAGATAAGCCTAGCTATTGGTACAGAATGTAAGAGTTACAAATTAGGTAAGCTTGGACAAAAACCGAGACCTTTACCTCACCCCTGTCAGAGGGTTTGGTACAGAACGCAAGAGAAACAAATTAGATAAGCCTAGCTATTAGTACAGAATGTAAGAGTTACAAATTAGCTAAGCTTAGACAAAAACCGAGACCTTTACCTCACCCCTGTCAGAGGGTTTGGTACAGAACGCAAGAGAAACAAATTAGATAAGCCTAGCTATTAGTACAGAATGTAAGAGTTACAAATTAGGTAAGCTTAGACAAAAACCGAGACCTTTACCTCACTCCTGTCCGATTGTTTGGTACGGAATGCAAGAGTAACAAATTACATAAGCCTAGCTATTGTCGACATTATCCTGTAATCAGAAAAGTAAATAAGGTATTGGAAGGACAGGACTAAGGAAATGTGAAAGAAATCAAATATGACATATGATTGTTGAACATACAGATTTTTATCTTTTATATAGGGATTGAACAGCATTTTTGTAATTTTCATGTCGGTATGAACACAAATCGGTTATATCCATCACGTTTAATATGGATGTAACCGATTTGTTTTCATACCGGCATGAACATTTTAAAAAATCGCCCTTCAATCCATATATTTATATTTTTACTAAAGAACAATTGTTTCATTTTATTTATTTGTTCTTAAATAATTTATTTATTTACTGCGTTTTGTATATGTATCGTCCTTTAAACGACATTAGCGGAACAGCCCTATTTAGATAAAATTTGCGCCAATAATTAACCGTAGTCATTTGAGCGTTTGACGCAGGGGCATTCTCCATGTTATCCGAAAGCTAAGTGACAAGACCCTCATTGAACAAAGTTAATCTATGACATCATAAGTAAACCATGTGATACGTCATGAGAGTTTATGCTTTCATACTCGAATGAAATGCATTTCTGCTGGTAATGTTCATATAGTGGGTAACAGCGCAAATGTAAATATTACTTGTTGCAAATATTGTATGTGTTAAATTTTTGTCATAATCTGAAAGGTCAATATAGACTAGACAAGATATGACTATGGAAATGTAAGAGAAACCAGATATGCTTATAAATCATTGTCAGACAGGTTTTGTAAAGATTAAAATATTGTATTTTCATTTAATGCAGGTGTGGTACAAATTAAACATTTGCTACGTCTGGGATTCTTAGAATACCCAAGTGACCTATTATATTAAACATACTCATGTAAGCAGTATTGTTGTTATGACCAATGTGAAGACTAAAAATAAACTTGATGACTGTTGTATTGACCAGGTAACATGATCCAGTCGTTGGCGTGGAATGACGCTTCCAACATGCTGTCGGCACTGGCCGATGGAAAGTTCACCGTCTGGTATTACCCCAACACCATCTATGTAGACAGGGACCTTGCCACCAAAACCATCTTTGAGAAAGAAGCAAGGTACTGCTTTTCTATCTATTTCCTTTATAGTAATTTCTCCTTGGTTTGAAAAAAATAAGTGTTAGTGTTTTATAGGTAAGATTTCAAAATTTTGAGGTGGATGTACGCTATCTCACACACTGGAAAAATGTTTCCTCATATCAGGTCATTGCAATACAAGAAAAGAAATTGATTTATTGAATTTAAAATTTAAAAAAACAAGTGTTTAAAAAAGTATTTGAAAATTATTAATATAAAAATTAAATATCTTCAGAGTTCAAAGAAGAAATGTCATATAAGTCAAGAATTTAGATTAAAGAATTTACAAAGAAGGATCATGATGATGTATTGTTAAAACAAAAGGAGTTGATTAGAATTTCCAAATTTTGTTTCATGAAATTTTGCCTAATACAATTGTACCAGCATATGTACACTTTTGTTTCTCCAGTGAGTTTGGCAAGAATCCTCAGCTACTTCAGTTTAACGGGAATCATGTGATTATCCGGCGAGCGGAGGGGTCGATTGTGAGCACATCCATATCACCTCACCCCTGTATACTTCACTCCTACGTATACTCTGGTCGCTGGAACGATGCTGTGCGGCTCTGTCGGTTTGTCAAGGTGAGACTGATAGAGAATTGGAGAACAAATATTCCGTAGTCTTCATACAGAATGTGCAGTTTGTGTATAGTACACAATTATGTAATGAAGAGTTTGATTGGATGGCTTGCTGTTATGTCTGGGTGTCTTGTATGGTTTGTCAGGTTGCTGGAAGAATCATTTCTGAATTAATGTGTGAATGTTAAATGAAATCCTGATTGTCTCTTCAATTATAATTCCAAAAAGGTTTTTGGCCAAGAAAAAATATCTATAAATAGGTCGATTAAGATAATCTTGCCATATTATTACAGTAATACAAACATTACATCTAGATCAATCCGGTATTGGTGTTCGCTGTCAGTCTCCCTGTATACTCGAGTATTCAAACAAGGGGCCAAGGACTTAAGCATCCGTCTTTGAAGAAACTACAACATTAACATAGTAAAACAAAGTTACAACAAACACCCTTACTGACAATTCTTGCTACAATAAATTTTCTCCTGTTAAGAGAAATTGTCTACATTGTACTAGTATCATAATATTTATAGCAAATTTTTTGAGAAAAAACTCGTTTCTTAATGGTTTTCTATATTATGATGTGACTTTGAGATGAAGTGAAGTGTAAGTTGTGGAATTTAAATTTACTTTCCTGTCTCCTAAACTCGTCAAAGAATTTCTCCACCTTTTAAATATCCAGGATGAAGTTTTGTGGTCATGTCTGGCCGCCATGTCAGCTTACGCGAAGGAGCTGAACACTGCGGAGATAGCCTACGCAGCCATCAAAGAGGTGAGGTGTTCTGCTAGTCATTAGTCATCATGCAGCTTTAAATTACAAAACCATAAGGGATTATCCTGGCCTCTGTGGTTGGATTTAGTTTATAATGACATGAATGTTCTGCAATATATACCCATACATATCTGGTATTCAAAAAGCCCACCCATGTAAAAATACAGTTCAGTAGCATTGGTTACAAGTGTTATTTCATTGTCCTGCAACAAGCAAACTCATGCATCAAGTCAGAGTTAAGTTACTGGTAATATGTTGGCCCCTGGCTATTGTAGGTTAAATAATGTAATAACAAACGTTTAATGTGAAATAGTGAAATTTGTCCCTTTTCATACAAACCAGACACATGTATTATAATACAATGTCTTTTTAAGTATAGTTTCCAATAATAACATTTAAAATAGGTCCAGAATGTGTAAATCAGACCCTCAGATTGGTCCCATGTATGAATCTCCTTAGAAAATATCCTATGTAATACATCAGTGATATTTTTTCAAAAAAAAAAGAATAATGGTGATATGTTTAGACATACACGACAGTAATCTTAGTTGGTGCAGTAGAAATCTTCACTGCATTGAAGATTCATTCAGTAATGAATTGTAATTCATCTAAGTGTTTTGTTGTTTTTTACAGGCAGAAAAAGTGCAGTTTATTGTAAACATCAAGGACATCCCAGTGAAGGAGGCGAGAAACGCAGAGATGGCATTGTTATGTGGAAGCCAGCAAGACGCAGAAGCCATTCTTCTACAGGCAGGACTCATTTTCAGGGCCATCATGCTCAACATCCAGCTATACAACTGGGATAGGTAGGTCACTATGCTATACAACTGGGATAGGTAGGTCATTGTGCTATACAACTAGGATAGGTAGGTCACTGTGCTATACAACTGGGATAGGTAGGTCACTGTACTATACAACTAGGGCCCGTAATCATGAAACCATTCTCATGCTCAAGTATGAATTTTGTGCTCAAACCAACTTTCTTGTAACTCACTTAAATCATGTCAACAATAAAGAAAAAGTTGTAAACACTGAAAACAGTATTTGACTCAAAGTCTCTTCAATTTTTTTTCCAAATCATTGACAAAATAAGATTTAACAAATAATTTACGTACAGCCAGAAGAAGAAATTGGGCTTGAGCACAAAATCCATGCTTGAGCATGAGAATGGTTTCATGAATACGTTCTCATGCTCAAATTCCAATTCTGTGCTCAAGCCCAATTTCTTGTTCGGGTGATTAATTCACAAGAAAATCGCATTTTGTCCACTTTTTGGAAGAAGTTGGGAAAGACTTCAAGCTGCAATCTATTTTAAATGTTAACACTTGACTATCTGACTATGTCACATGATATAAGCAAGATACAAGAAAGTTGGTTTGAGCATGAAATACATGCTTGTGCATGAGAACAGTTTCATGAATACAGGCCAAGGATAGATAAGTCACTATGTGTAACTGGGAAAGGTACAAACAATGTAGGCCTTCTGTAAAACATGGTAGGGGAGTCACTCATCTTTACAACTGGATTAGGTAGGTTACTCGTCTACAACAAGGATAGGGAATAGGTCACGCAGCTGACACAACTGGGATAGGTCAGTCACTCAATTGTAAAACTGATATAGGTATGTCTCTTGATTTATATATCCAGGATAGTTTGGTCATTTTATTACAACTGGGGAAAACCTGTCGCTCGTCTGTACAACTGTGATAAATGTATATTAGTCACTTCTCAAGACAATTGTGGTAGAATTGTCGCTTATCTGTATCACTGAGAAAAGCCACTCATCTTGATAACTTGGTTGCAATTGTCACATGTAGACCTAGAAATGAAAAAAGTCACTGCCTTTACAAATGGTATGGGGAAAAGATATTATAGCTGGCATTGCTGTTGATGTAGCTAGGGAGAGATAGCTTGCATTTGACACCAGCTTTATAGCTGGGATAGGTAGATCACACAGTTATTGTTGGGAGTGGATAGGTAGCCTGCATGCTATAAGACATCAGTTAAAAGCCTGCCGCTTTCGACATAAGTATGCTGTGAAGTGTATCACAGCTATGGTATTAGATCGATTACAGAACCAATGACTAATCTGTGTATGAAAAGTTCCTTAAAAATATATATAAATTAGAATTTTAAACGCCAGAGACATTTTGGGGTAGGAATTCATCAACTGGGGTACACAGAACTGAACATTCACTAGTGGACGTTGGATCTCCCTTGTATTTTGGGTTATAAATAATTTGAACTTTGCTTTTGAAGTGTTGTTTAGGATTCTATTGATATTAGAATAATATGTGATTGTTTTTGTCTCTCCGCCACAAAGTAGCGGCAGCGAGACTAAGGTGTGGCATTTCTGGCGACGTCAACATTAAGTTTTTGCATTTAAGTTAGTTTCACTGAAAGTATAAGTGCTAGACCAACCAAACTTCGACCACATATGCATCTTAGGTAGAACATCTCAACCCATGCATCAAAAGCTGGATGCGGCCTACCTGTCATGGTCCATTGACTTTGTCAGCATCTCCGTCAACATTTAGTCTTGTGTTTAAGTTAGTTCTCTGATATGTGCGCTGATGGTCAAAGCGGGGCACAGGCTAGACATATCAATCTGAATGGCTTGTTGAAGTATCAGTTGTTTGTTACAGGGCTTTGGAACTGGCAGTGAAACATAAGACACATGTAGACACAGTGCTAGGATACAGACAGAAATACCTCACCAGGTTTGAAAAGAAGGAAAACAACAAACGCTACCTACAATATATGGAAGGGGTGAGTTCTAAAGTTTCATTTCATTTTCTCAGAAGAAATGATATTTTTGACAAAAAAAGAAGTGTTAAAGATTTATTATCAACCTTAAGTGAATTTATCTAGTATTCCTTGAGGAATTTCATTGTTTGAAATCCCGCATCTAAAATAATTCTATAGATTTCCCACAAGCAAATCCAAAGTTTTTTCCCAAATGTTCATCCCATTTTAACATTTCCATTTATGCTGAACATGCAGAATGAAATCGTAAATAAGAGCGAACCACTTACAATAGGATTTGTTGATTTGATTGACAGATTGAGGTAGACTGGGAGAAAATTGAGGCTAAGATGGAGATGGAATACCAGAAGGAACGGGAACGACCAACCGTCACATCTACAGCTGGGTCTGCTAAGCCACGACAGTCACGACAGGAAACGACAAAATAGTGCATATAGATCAGATCAGACTATATACACTCAAATTTTATCTGAACCCTCAGTTTTCTGACATCCTGTCCAATCCAATCCAGTTTCTAAAGGAAACTTCCAAACAAGACATGTGTGTTGTGATACTTTTTCACCAGACCAATATATATAATATGTCCCACAGGATGTTAAATTAAACGGATTAATCTGACCAAAAAGTTGTGTCCCTGTAGGTGTCAGATTAGACAGTTTAATCTGACCAATATATTGTGTTCCTCTGAGTGTCCTTATACAGGTGAATCGGACCAATGTGTGATATATAGGGTGTCAGATTTATAGACAGGTTTCATTGTAAATTATTGTTACAGAGTATGTTGTTTAAATCTTAATAATCTGTTAAAATTGTGAAAGAGGAAAAGCAGTTACAGTTTATGCCTGTTTTGAGATCTAATAAACTGCTTAAAAATCTCATCCAACTTTGATACAAAGTTTGTACAATTGACTGACATTTTTTCTCTAGAGTTGAATTGTATTAAGACACCTTATGACTAGATAATTGCAACAAGACTTTCACTAATTGGAGTCCTTTATGAGCTGTGTATTTTTCAGAAGTTGTGACTCGGATGTAAATTTATACGAGAAGGTTCTAATTATTTCAGTTCCATTTCTACTTTCACTTTAACCTAGGTTTCTATCAATGTTACAAAGGTGTCTCGGTCTCGAGTCACCTAGCTAGGAAGTCAGCACTGCCAGTAGAGATGATAAAAATTCATGTTCATGAGAACATGTGCATTCGAAATGTTTTGTGGTATTTTCTGTATGTAATTTTTTAAAGATTCACATAAATGACAAATACATGTACTTATTTTTTTTGAAAAAGTGAATCTCTCAACTTAACTTCATTTAATCATCAAATACTTTGATTCATTTTAGTTGTCAATTGGATAATGATTCCTCCTTTTATATTGAGTGTTTAACCAAGAAGTGGTAGTAATATGAACTAATGTTAGGTCATTTCAAGGTGAAAATATTCCTAGTCCATGGATAACAAAATAAATTATATAGTATTTGGGTGTTTGAAGACCAAGGCTGTATTTTGTGTCCTAGAAAATAAGATTGACATGAGATGAGGTTATTTTTTAAATATATTTATTATTTGAAAAGAAGTATTTTTCAATGGAATTGTCCCATTTTTATCAAAATGTACATATCAAATTGAATTTGTCTACTGCAGAGTATTGTGATGGTGTAGATTTCCGTCCTCCATTATATATATTGGAACCAGAGCTGGTAGTTGACATGTGTGATGTATATATTCCAATTCACATGCAATTACATGTGACTTTGTACATTTATAGATATACTTAATTTATATAAAATATGTGTTTTTATGACATTTTTAACTGGAATAGCCCTGATACAAATGTTAATGATTTTGATTCTTTGTTTAATATACATATCACTTTCCAAATGTCTGGAAAGTTCATTGTGTGCGTGAAAGTAGGGGTTTAGAGACACAAGAACAATTTAAATTTTAATAGGTAGATCTGAAGCCATTCTGGTAGCCTAGTGCTTTAAGTGTTAAGTTATAAAAACAAAAGTTCTCTTTGTCGTCGTCATATTTCGTATCAAAGAGATATCAATAATTTGAAAGTAATCATAATAAGAAAAAGAACCCAGACAATGAAACTTGGATGCCAGAAATCGGAGATTTGTCATACAATCTCATCCTAAATACGCTGCAGCTCCTTGAACCTAACTTCCTTTTGCAGCTGTTTTATTCACCAATTGAATCTGACATGAAATCCTCAAGATATGGACATTTACCTCAGAAGACTGAGAAAAACTTCTGTGTTTGAATCCATATGAAATACTTGTTCCAATCAAGTGTTAAATATGCCACATTTGCTTTCAAATTTTACTGTCATATCTCCTACTATGGAACTGTGTTGTCAAAAATAAATTTCCTGTATGCTAATCATGTATATGTAAGAGATGAAATTTCTGTTAAAGATAAAGGACCAAGAACTTAATACATTCCGTCCATTTTGTGTCTGTATTCTTTCTCATATTCTGAAGATCGGAAATATAGAATGAAAGTGATAATTCATTGTTTTGTGAAAGAAGCAAGAAAATGACATTAAATATTTTGAATTCAAATTATTCGTATTTGTTTTCATTCAAATTTATAGAGTTCAAACATTTAAAAAAATATTTTTTAAATACATTCATATATTTACTGTAGACTGGGAAATTTTCAATGCTGTTTTACTTGATCCTTTTTTGCCTTCCATAATGAGGGCGAATTTATGACTGAATAGAGGTACAATGTATAAATCAATTACCATATATAGAATCTAAATGTGAAGGGCACAATTAAGACTGGATTTATTAGCGAAAGGCAAGAGTTTCCTGGTATACAGTATTTTACTTAGAAACTGTATCCAGAAGAGTTGTAACTTAAACTTCTTTGTTGCAATGGAATCCAACTAACATGACACCTGACTTTTGATATGCCCATCAAAATTCGAAATGGGATGAAGGGCTACCAAGTTTGTTCGAATGAATGACCTTGACCCACGTTTAAATGTCACTGGGGTCAAATGTGTAAAAATCTTCCAACAACTTCTTCACAATAACCAAAAGGTCAAGGTTACTGATATGGGGCCTGTATCATGCTGGCATGAAGGACTGCAAAGTTTGTCCAAATGAATGACCTTGACCAACTTTCAAGGTCACAGGGGTCAAATGTCTTAAAATCTTCAAACGACTTCTCAATAACCAAAAGGCCTAGGGTACTGTATTGGGCCTGTAGCATGCTATGATAAAGGGCAACCAAGTTTGTTCAAGTGAATGACCTTGACCTGCTTTCAAGGTCACAGTGGTCAAATGTGTTAAAATCTTCAAAAAACTTCTTCTCAATAACGAAAGGCCCAGGGTACTAATATTGGGCCTGTAGCATGCTGGGATGAAGGGCTTCCAAGATAGTTCAAATGTATGACCTTGACCCACTTTCAAGGTCACGAGGGTCAAATGTGTAAAAATCTTCCAACAACTTCTTCACAATAACCCAAAGGCCAAGGTTACTGATATGGGGCCTGTAGCATGCTGGCATGAAGGACTGCAAAATTTGTCCAAATGAATGACCTTGACCAACTTTCAAGGTCACAGGGGTCAAATGTCTTAAAATCTTCAAACGACTTCTCAATAACCAAAAGGCCTAGGGTACTGTATTGGGCCTGTAGCATGCTCGGATAAAGGGCAACCAAGTTTGTTCAAGTGAATGACCTTGACCTGCTTTCAAGGCCACAGTGGTCAAATGTGTTAAAATCTTCAAAAAACTTCTTCTCAATAACGAAAGGCTCAGGGTACTAATATTGGGCCTGTAGTATGCTGGGATGAAGGGCTTCCAAGATAGTTCAAATGTATGACCTTGACCCACTTTCAAGGTCACGAGGGTCAAATGTGTAAAAATCTTCCAACAACTTCTTCACAATAACCAAAAGGCCAAGGTTACTGATATGGGGCCTGTAGCATGCTGGCATGAAGGACTGCAAAATTTGTCCAAATGAATGACCTTGACCCACTTTCAAGGTCACAGGGGTCAAATGTCTTAAGATCTTCAAACCACTTCTTTTCAATAACCAAACGGCACAGGATCCTGAAATTGGGCCTGTAGCATACTGGGATGAAGGGCTACCAAGGTTGCTCAAATAAATGTTCTTGACCCACTTTCAACCTAATGTCCTTGTTCGACATTCAAGGTCACAGGCGTCATATGTTAAAACTTTTAATAGGTTCTTATGAATCAAACATTGATATTCTGCCTGTTGCTGTATTTTAGTCCACTTTTAAGATTACAAGTGTGAAATTTATACCAGGTGGGCGATGCAGGCCCATTGGGCCTCTTGTTTAAGACAATTGACCCCTGTGACCTTGAATATAATTGAAGGTCATTCATTTGAACAAACTTGGTAGCCCTTCACCCAAGCATGCTACTGGCTAAATATCATCTCCCTGGGCAGTTTGGTTATGGAGAAGAAGATGTTTAAAGATTTTAAACAAATTTGACCCCTGTGACCTTGAATATAAGTCAAAGTCATTCACTTTAACAAACAGTAGTCCTTGATCCCAGCATGCTATAGACTAAATATCAACATCCTGAGCATTTTGGTTATTCAGAACAAGTTGTTTAAATATTTTGAACATATTTGCTCCTTGTGACCTTGAATATGATTCAAGGTCATACATTTAAATAAACTTGGTAGCCCTTGATCCTTGTATGATACTGACTAAATATCATCACCCTGGGCATAATAACCGAAAGGCCTAGGGTGATGATATTTCGCCAGAAGCAAACTGGGATGAAGGGCTACCAAGTTTGTTCAAATAAAGGACCTTCATCTATTTTCAAGGTCACAGGGGTCAATTGTCTTAAACAAGAGGCCCAATGGGCCTGCATCGCCCACCTGGTATAAATTTCACACTTGTAATCTTAAAAGTGGACTAAAATACAGCAAATACAAAGACTGAAATTGGAAACTGGATTAGATTTTGATCTCGACTCTTTCAGCACAGGCCTACTTGTTCATGTGACAGATGCTGAAGTGTTGAAGAGTGCAACAGAAAAAGGAACACAAGAAATACAAAGAATAAGAAACTGCATAGAAAAAGTGTTTACAGATGAGGATGTTGACATTCATAATAGAATATGTAGCAGTATCATTGGCAAAGGAGGACAAAACATACAAAGATTGAGATTGGAAACTGGATTAGATTTATATCTCGACTTTTTCAGCACAGGCCTACTTCTTCACGTGACAGATGCTGAAGTGTTGAAGAGTGCAACAGAAAAAGTAACACAAGAAGTACAAAGAATAGGGAAATTGCATAGAAAAAGTGTTTACAGATGAGGATGTTGACATTCATAATAGAATATGTAGCAGTATCATTGGCAAAGGAGGACAAAACATACAAAGATTGAGATTGGAAACTGGATTAGATTTATATCTCGACTTTTTCAGCACAGGCCTACTTCTTCACGTGACAGATGCTGAAGTGTTGAAGAGTGCAACAGAAAAAGTGTCACAAAAAGTACAAAGAATAAAGAATCGAACTGGATAGAAAAAAAACATAACTGAACCACATTAACACGTGAAATATACAGATGCTCATTATTATTACAGAATTTCAGGAATGTTAATTAATAAATGAGGAGAAATTAAAGATATAAACTATTAGTTTACTTTTTAGCTCGCTGGCTCAAAGGGGGAAATGAGCTTATGCCATTGTACGGCGTTCGTCTGGCGTCAACTTTTTACTTTTAAACAACTTCTTCTGAATAACCAAAAACTTTCAAACAACTACTGAATACTAACCAGTAGGCCCAGGGTGATATATGGCCGGTAACATGTATGCATGAATGGCTACCTTTTTTTCTCCTAAAATGAATGACCTTCACTTATATTCAAGGTCACAGGGGTCAAATATATTTTAAATCTTTATACGACTTCTGATGAATAACCAAATGGCCCAGGATAATGAAATTTGGTCTGTAACATGCTCGGATGAAGGGCCACTTTGTGTGTTTATTTTAAATGATTGACCTTGAGCTATATTCAAGGCCATAGGGGTTAATTATTTAAAAAAAACTTTTAGGGTCAATTATCTTGAAAACTTTAGAACAACTTCTTCTGAATAACCAAAAGGCCCAGGATATTGATATCTGGATAATAGTATGCTTAGTTGTAGGGCTACCAATTTTATTCCAATAAATGACCTTCACTGATGAGGTCACTGGGGTGAAATATGTTTTAAAATGACATACTGAATAACAAAAAGGACCAGAATGATATTTGGTCAATAAGATGCTGGGATTAAAGGCTACCAAGTTTGTTAAAATTAATGACCTTGACATATATTCAAGGTCACAGGGGTCAAACATATTAAAAACTTATAAAAGACTTCTTTTGAATAATCAAGAGGCCAAGAAGGATGATATTTGGCCAGAAAGATGCTTGGATGAAGGGCTACGTAGTTTATTTAAGTGAATGACCTTGACCTATATTCAAGGTAATGGGTCAAATATATTTAAAACCTGTAAACAGCTTCTTCTGAATAACAAAAAGGCCCTGGGTGATGATATTTGGCCAGTTACATGCTGGAATAAAGGGCAACTTAGTTTGTTCAAATAAATGATCTTGACTAATATTCAATCACAGGTAAAAATTATGTTTTAAACCTGCAATCAACATCTTCTAAATAACGATAAGGCCCTGAATGGCGTGCTTGGATGAAGGGTACCAATTTTATTCAAATGAAAGACCTTGACTTGTATCCAAGGTCATGGGTCAAAATATGAATTAAACTTTTAAACGACATCTTCTGAATAATGCTTAGGCCCAGATTGTTGATATCTGGCCAGTAGCATGCTTGGATGAATGATCTTTGAATTATTTTCAAGGTCACATGAGTCATATTTGTTAAAAGTTGTTTGCCATGGTATTTCATATTTTATGGTCATTTGGTGCAATGATATGTGTAGTGACTGATACCCCAGTATCTCTCGGTACTGGGCTGATAATAGACAGGCCAGGTGACGCCCCATGTATATTGAGTCAGTCTAGTAAATATGCATATTTTGAACTTAGTACAGGGTCAAGTGATACGAGAAGTCACAGTGGCACAACTTATCAGATATCCTGTTCATTACATGTACCTGCTGCGACGTAAATATTACAGGTCTAACATTATATTGTAATTATACGTCTTGGCGTGTATCAATTCTGACAGGCCCTTGATATATTTATATATTATCTGCATAACAGTGTAAGTAATGACAGCAACCAACATGTTGTATGGTTAAAATCATCAATCGACAAATACAGATGTCAGTAATGTTCTTAGCAGAAAAAGTTATATATATATTCAAGCTTGAATCACGGAAATCTGATTCCGTGCCTGCATCAACTACGAATACATTCAATGTACCTTCAAGCTA